ATATTACCAGACAAATCTGAAGAGAGTTTTTGCTTAAAATTCACATTCCTATTCATGAGTTGAAAGAATAAAAGGCAGTACTTTTGTAGAGAGGGTTCAGCCCCACATGAAAGACACAACATTGCAATGTCCAAATTTAAAAAATGAAAAAATTTCCTTCAATTTTGGATAATGGAAGCTAACAGAGTCACACTGTCCGTTTTTATTTCCGTCAATGGTGCCATTCCTGCTGTGTTGCTACATAATTATTTTCAACAGAGACATCTATTGTTCAGTAAGAGATCTGCAACATGTTTAGCTTGTCTCAAAAAAAGCAACGTTGTTATACTAACGTCAAAATTCACCTGCACTGTAGCCAATGTGTAAATATACGAAACGATTAATGTAAATATATAGATAAATGCAAGTGTGTTTTTGCAAAATCCATGTCAAAATTGTACATGAATTAGCCATAATTCTTAAATCAGTCGTTAAAACTTTTCACCTATAAAATCAAAGTGACCGAGCTCTTCAACCCTGACAATATAAGTGGAACATCACTGCTAATAAACCAAATAAGCAAGGGCATATGACAGTGCAAACAGATTCAACAACCATTATGTTATTTGAAAAATGTTGTTTGTATTTATTTTACTTACTGTACAAGCATTTAGAAAACTGGAAAGAAAATGGCACTCCACTAACATGGAATGATTTTATTTAGCTTGGATAGATAGCCTGCTAACATATAAGAAAGCTCCCCATAAAGCTAGAACTGTATATTAGTCATCTTTAATAGATGAGAATAAAGATAACCTCAGGTTTCTATTCAGTACTATAGCTAGACTAATGAAAAGTCATATCTCTGTTGAGCAATATGTTCCTACAACTAGAAGCAGTGATGACTTCATGAGATTCTTTGTAATACAATTATTTCAATTAGGGAGAAAATTCAAACCATCCTTCCTACTATTGCCTCTGCTTCCCTGTCAGATGAGGCATCTTTATAAATGTCAGTAGAACCTGAGTTATGTTTGGACTGTTTTTATCATGTTGAGCTCTCTGAATTATCAAAAATAATAGCTTCATCCAAACCATTCACATGTCTGATAGATCCCATCCCAACCAGACTGTTTAAAGAGGTATTTCCCCTAATTGATGTCCACATTTTGGATCTGCTTCATTTGTCTTTAATGAATGGTTATGTACCACAGCACTTTAAGGTTGCTGTAATTAAACCTTTACTTAAGAAAGCTGATTTTGATTCAGGAACTCTGGCATTGGCCAGACTTATATCTAATCTAATTTTCATCTAAAAATTTATAGAGAAAATAGTTGCAGGCAGTTGCATGAATATCTGCAAAGAAATAATCTGTTTGAGGAGTTTCAGTCAGGGTTTAGAGCTCATCATAGCATGGAGACAGCACTAGTGAAAGTCACTAATGATATTCTCATGGCTTCTGACAATGGACTTGTGTCTATACTGGTCCTGTTAGATCTCAGTGCTGCATTTGATACAGTTGATCACAATATTCTACTACAGAAGCTTGGATATGATATTGGGATTACAGAAATGGCTCTAAAATGGTTTAAATCATATTTATTTTTCATTCAGTCTTTATTTAGACAGGTTAATTTGACAGATTCTAGTATGTAAATGTAAATAATGAATCTTCTTCCTACACCAATGTTCATGGAGTTCCTCAGGGTTCAGTGCTTGGACCAGTACTCTTTACTTTAAATATGCTTCCATTAGGTAAAGTTATATTCCTTAGATAGATAACCTTTACTAATTGGCTTTCATAATGTATGTGAATATTTTTGTATATTGCCTTGAGTCAACTTCTGTTTAGACTTGGTGCCATATAATTAAACTGAATGGAATTTTATATTGATGATAGATTTTAACGTCCATGAGCGGCAGTTAAATTATTATTTTAAAAATAACGTGTTTTTCTCCATACCTATACCAAGTCAGAAGTGTTTTTAAATACTACAGGATATATTTTTTGTTTCATAGCAGGATGGAAAGTGAATTTTCTGAAAAAGCATGTTTCAAATTGAGGCAATATGCAGAAGCCCTGAAGTGTCAACACTGAACCCTTTTACCTGTCACTCAATGTTTCCCCGCAGCAGGTTAGCCTGAGCTCGGCCCTGAGAGAGGGAGGGCAAGTTTGAACAACACCTGACATGACAGGCTGCTTAACCATCTCCATTAGAGCCAATGAACACTGAGAAAAAGCAGACCGACTCACTCTCCAAATTGGTGCCTCTGGGGTCAAGTTGCAGGAATCTGTCAATTACTTAAATTGATCAGGAGACGGTTTCCTCGATAACCAATTTGATCAAGCTGACGATCGTGTTACACGCATAGCGCTGCAGGGGAACCGAGCAGGCCTTCTCAAAAATTGGGTCGCCACACTAAAATGCTATTTCCTTTTGTGAAAGTAATTCTGTTTCGTCATGTCAGGTGGTGGGTGGGGGCCGCAGACACGGCCTGTAAACAATGGCATTTCAGTTGATTTAATTAGCCACAGAGGAAGCATTTAGGGGCTTAATTGAGATTGCAGTGGGAAATTGCTCTGAAATAGGTCTACCTGATTATTTTTTTCCTCTCTCTCCTCACAGCGAGCATGACGAGGGATTTCACTCTCCTCTTTGTAGATAATTAGAATTACCGTAATCACTCCCTGGATGACCTGTGATTGGAGAAAGCCGCACGCCAAAACCAGAAATATGAAGAGCGTGTATGTTTCTCGATGTGTATTCTGTCTGGTCTGGAGTTCAGAGTGCTCTTGATCTTCATACACACTGAAGGGTTGTCTCAATGCAAAGAGGCAACCTCTTGTGCTTTTTGTGCCTGAGATGGCAGCAGTGCTCTTTATGCTGTGTATGTTTTAAGTAGCCTTTTTAATGCTTTTTTTATTTTTACTGCTGCAAACTGTCATGCCGTCTATTGTACAACTGCAATAACAAATTTGTCAGTCCATTGTTCGAAAATCTTTTTTTAAGGAAAAGCCTGCATGTTTTTTTTGCTTCAGCTTCACAAAGATTTTAGCATTCATAGGCCTTTTGAGAAAAAAATTAAATTATACAAAAAAATACCCTATTATGATATATTTCACTAATTGTTGCTTTACCTGCATTTGACCTTAATCGTTTTAAAGCTAAGGCAGTAGTTTAGAGCCTGACCTTATTAGTTTATTATTTGAATAAACTCGTCAAGCTTGGAGGTTTGGCTTGTTAGGTTATATATAACTGAATATGTCCTTGTTTTAAGTGTCTTTGAGTATTTAGAAAAGTGATATACGACTAAAATGTATTATTATTGTTATTATTTAAAATATTATTACTATTATTATTATTATTATTTAGTATTATTATAAGCCTTATTAACAAGTCATATAGACATTTAATAAACAGTGAAATAAAATCCTTGCTTCATCCAGCAAGTAAACAGGCATTAAATTATAATAATCCAACACATGTAACATGCTTTATGCGTCACATAAAACCAAAAGCAAAGCTAATAAAACGATCAACTCTAAAAAAAATAAAAACGAACTCAGGCTGTGAACTTGGTCAAGTTTTGCAGCAGTCGCCATATCAGCGCTGATCAAAATGCTCAAACTTTTACATCTAAAAGTTTAACTGCCATTTAAAATAAAATAAAAGACAAGACTTGATCCTGAAGAAGATCTGGAGCACTGTCAGCTGCTGGATGTTGGACTCGGAGAGGGAATCATCTGTCAGAATTTCAAAGTGTTTGCATTCAGGCACTAACTCAAACTCTGAACCATGAGAACGGATAGAGTCGAGGAGTTTTATTTTAAAGCGATGCACAAAGTAAACTTTGTTTTGTAGCATTTAAAACTAATTTAAAACTTCACAAAGTACATTAAATTATGTTAAAAGTTTACTGGAGCTGACAACTGTTGATCCAGCAAAGTACACGACTACATTAAAGCTCGTAAAATACGGTTTAATTTCAACAGCACTCATGCAAATCAGATAACTGAATCAGATGTGGGCTACTTAAAGCCCAAGGCCTTGGACAGTCTCCATCAAGCCCCCGATATCCTTAGTTAAAAAAAAAATCCAAAATGTTTTAAATAAAGATTGATTAAAGAACAAAAACAGCAATTTATCAATGAGACTTAAGGACATATAAATTAAATGTTTTACTGAAAAAAAAATAAAAAATTTAAATCATTGTGTTTCCAGAACTAGACTGAACTTTAAAGACAGAAACACAAATAGATAAGTTTGTTTTGTATAGTTCTGCTAACATGTACAACATGTAAAGCTAACGTGTATAATATAATGTCACGAGAGTCAGTTTACAGAATAGGTTTTATATTCCTAAAGGATATTGGAAAGACTTGTTTTATGAAGCATACTAACTATGCTACAGTAAGAAAAAGGTCTTAGATTATCTGTCATAAAGAACATTTATTTTCATATTCTCTATGCGGCCCTTTGATTGCTTTAAACATCTTGATGTGGCCCTTTGGAAAATAATGCTGCCCACCTCTGGCCTAAATGCATTTTCAGTACAGTATTTTTCAGACTATAAGTTGCACTTAAAATCCTTTAATTTTCTCAAAAATCGACACTGAGCCTTATAATCAGGTGCGCCTTTATGTATTAATTCTGGTTGTGCTTACTGACCTAGAAATGATCGTATGTGGTCATTGTGAACGAGTTGAATAAAGTTTGACTTATCTGACAGTTTTGTTTCGCTTAATGCGCCTTATAATCTGGTGCGCCCTATGTATGAAAACAGACCCGTTCATTGATATTGCACCTTAAAATCCGGTGCGCCATAGTCCGACAAATACGGTAATTTAAATAAAATGTGTAGCCGAGCGCTTCTAGTTAGCAATATATCTTCAACTCCCAATTATATTTAGGCTAGACAACAATGTACACAATGACAATCTCAGCAGTGCTTTTTTTAATCAAAGAGAAATGCTGTTCCTCTGTGTGGCTTTAGACCTGAACTGTTTGTTTCCCTGCAGGCATTTGGCTTCATGTCACGAGTGGCTCTGCAGGCAGAGAAGATGAACCACCACCCCGAGTGGTTTAATGTTTATAATAAGGTAACAACTTTGTCTCAGTGCAAATAAAACCTTGCAGCAGTGTATGGAAAGATTTGTTCGCCGAGCTTAGTTTATTTAGGCTCGGTTACAGAAGTCACAACTCGCAGAACCAAAAGGGTCATTCCCAGTTTGATCTGCTGCTCCCTTTGGTTTGGTACAAATTACAGCTTGAGGTAAATCAGCCCAGGGTGACGTTGTTTTTTGTTTTAAATCAAGCAATCATCGTTGGTTCTGGAAAACTAAAACTCGCTCCATCAGCCAGGGTAAGGGGAAAATAGTCGTTTTTAGATGTGAAAACACCAGCGCTCACACAGTCCGTCCCTCTTTGCCTCGGAGGTGGAGAAGTGGTTAATTTGACGAAGGTAGTCCGTGAAAATCTCTCAGCATTAGACCGTAGCCTCTGAGTTACTGTGTGGTGGACCGGGCCGCTTTAGGAGGAATGCTGCTCCTAATCCACTCTTTATTAAAGTGGCTGCAGAACGGTGCTGCGGGTCTCTGAACCCCAACAGACACTTACAGATAAATCCCACACTGATCGGCTCGTTTATACCAAACACATGCTAATATTCTATAAAATAACTCCAACCCCGCTCTGTTTTCTTGGTTTTATGGTTCGACGGTGTTTTCTTGGATCAATCTGCCCTGTGGGTTGTAAAAACACTGGTTTAAATCAGTAAAAGTGAGGCAAAAGTTACAGCCGCGAATGTAAAACAATGCTTCTACAAGCACATAAACACACTTTGGATGTCTCAGGCCTACTTCAGGTGTTTTATTTATTTATTTATTTTTTTTATTTCAAAAGCATAAAACAAGATAAAATTACATTTTACGAGCTACCCTGATTGGAATAAAGATTAAACTTATACATTAATCTGTTTTAGGCAGAAAGCAAAACTAACTAAAGGTAGTGTTGTCGCTTTAAAGCAGTGGTTCTCAAACTGGGGTCCCCAGACCCCTTGGGGTCTGCGAGCTGGTGCTTGGGGGGTCTGCAAATGTTTTATTTACTTTTTTATTTTTTTTACAAGCACATAAATGTTTAAAAACCTGTTAAGATACACCAAAATGCAGGATATCACATCTACTTTATTCAGAATTTTCTGGGGGAGGACCCCAGACCAGATGAGTTTACAAATGAAGCCTTGTTACGTAATAAGACTAATGCTGTTATGATTCTGTTCAGTTTTATGTAAAGAGTTTTTTGTAATAATTTGAAGAAGTGGCTATATTTATGTTCATTATGTGAATAGGTAAAGTTTTAAAGTGTTTTTTGATTCTGTTAATTTTCTCAAAACCGTAATTTTGGGAAGTTGAAATTAAAAACGTTGTTCTTCGATGAAAAATATCCCATGTTTAAAAGTTTAACGATTTAGCAGTATTAAATTACATATTTTAAGTATTTGTTACTTTATGTAGTATTTTTGTATTTCCATTGCATTAAAGAGACAAATTGAAGAAAATTATTTAATAAACATGAGCGTTATAAGGGGGTCTCTGGACCCAAAAAGTTTGAGACCCCTACTTTAAAGTGATTTTCAGTTTATCAATTGTCTTTTTTTTCCTGGAGAATGAATATTCTTCATGAGAATTCAAAAGAAAAACTTAAATCTTGGCAAGTTAAATCCCAAAATTCTCACAGACTATTAAAAATTCTGCCATGGCTATAAACTGTTGGATTATTTCATCTCTAAGATTTGTCTTTCAAAGATTAAATAACTAAATAAATGAATATTTAATGATAAAAAAATGGTGAAGTTCACTTAAATTGACTACATGTACAATTAAATTTCATATTGCAAATAAAAAAATGTTTTTCTATGTTAATTCACATGTTCATCTAACAAGACTTTTATTGACTGGATCTATTTTTAACACAACTAGAGAAATTGCATTTCCTGCGAAAATGCAGCGTGAATGCTTATTGCAGAAGAACTTGCTGAAAAAAAGCTGAAATTAGCTAAAAGAAATGTAGCTGAAATAGAAGAACAAGCATAAGCTAGCAGAAGAAAGCAGAAAGAACACATATTTGCTGAATTAAGTTTAAATAAGCAGAAATGAGCACAAAAAATAAGAAATTAGCAAAAAAGCAGGAATTAGTCAAATGTAGCTTAAAGGTAGCTGAAAAGGCAGAAAGCAGCTTAAACTACCAGAAGGAAGTGGAGAGAGCACAATTGTGCCCAAATAGGCTGAAAGAAGCAGAAATGAGCATAAAAAGGGAAAATTATCTGAAAAAGGCAGAAATAGGCAAAAACACAGCTGAAAAGTAGCTTAAAAGGCAGAAATAAGCTTAAACTACCAGAAGGAAGTTGAGAGCACATTCTTGCTAAATTTGACTGAAAAAAGTTTAAATGAGTGCAAAAATTGTGGAATTAGCTGAAAAGGCTAAAATTAGCATAAAAAAGCTAAATAAATAGCTGAAATAACAGTAAAAGCTGAAACGTGCAGAAAAGCGCTGAGGAGCATAACAAGCTGAAATTAGCAGAAAGAATTTAGAAGGACAAAAATGTAGTTGGCATAAAAAAATCTAAAAGGAGTACAAAACAGCTAACGAGACAGCTGAAATTAGCTGAAAGTAGCTGAAAAGAGTTTAAATTTGCAAAAAGGTGCTGAAAGAAGCTGAAGCAGAACAAATTGTAAAAGCAGCAGTAAAAGGCTGTAAACAGATCTAAAGATATGAAGGATGTAAAGTGAGCTCAATTCATTTCCCATGAGAAATAAAGTGGCAGAAAAGGCTAAATGTTTCAAAAAACAAAAGTTGCATCAACACCAAAAGTCACAGCACCCTTCACCTGACCAAGCTGAACGTTTCGATATACGATTTGTTGAAATGGCACAAAAATTGTGGAGCGAGAAAGATGCTGAAAAAATGGACAGAAGAAAAATGGATCGCATTAGAGTGAATGTTTCATAAACATTCACATTTTATTTTACTAAAAATATTCTGCACCATACAAACACAAATTAAGACTATTTTGCAGTTAATCCACTAACGCCTCATATATTTTTTTTTATAGCTTTGTGCCTGAAAGCATTTCGTTTGTGTCTTCTCAGGTCCAAATCACGCTGACTACACACGACTGTGGAGGTCTGTCCAAGCGGGACATCAAAATGGCCAAGTTTATTGACAAAATCGCGTTGTCTATGTAACATTATTTGTCCTCGAAAGAAAACAAGAAACTGTTTTGCAATCATCCTTTGATTTTAATAAAAAAAAAAAAAAAGTGAAATATCATGTAATTTTTAATTTTTATAGCATGCGTTACAAATTTGTATACAAATAAATCTTTAATTTTTGTGAGTATTGCTTCTGGTATTTATGTTTGCTTCCATTACGGTCATAACTTCACTTTATGTTGTAATGCTCTCATTTTTAGTTAGTTTGTTTGTGTTCCCCTCCAGGTGGTGTTAAAATTGCATTTTTGCTCTTCAGTATTCCAGGCAGGACTTTCCAGGGATCTGCAGGATCTGCTTCTGCCCGCTCAGTCCTCCCCGAGGCCACATGTTTTTGTTTTGGCTCGACGGGAGCAAAAGGGGGTCAAAGTCAGTAGGAAGGGGGTTTATTTGATTTACAGTTTGATAATGAACGCCATTAGAAAAAGATCAGCGAGTAAAAACAAGTACATGTTAAAAGAAGGGCAGCACCACAAGCAGCCTCTCTCTCTCTTTAGTCTGTTAAAGGAAGCTGAACCTGTGATGCTTTCCTTAAATATTTATCTAGCCTTAAAGCATCTGTTGAACATCTCCTGCTCTCTGCTGGTTACTCAGGACAAATCTGACTCCACAAACAAAAAGAAGCTCCCTTTGTTAGTCTTTTATGATTACATCAGCGTGTAAGAAGGTTCCTAAATTCATCTTCTCCTTTAGCAGCAGCATCTTCCGTCAGATGTTTGTTTGTGTTTTTGTGATTTGCACAACAACGAGAGGAATGTCGACACAAAACCGGTTCAGTTCATCGGTGATTCAGCTGGACTGAACAGACCTCATCAGGCCGTGCCTCAAGATTTCAGCTCGGCTCTGGTTTTAATGTAAGTTTTCATATTTTTTTCAAACATGGGATTTATTCAAAGTTTAGGTTGTTGGACCTTTTCAAAGCCTCAGTTTAAAATAATCAGAACCATCTAATGTAAAATTTAAAAACAAGTCCCAGATAATGATGCTCTCTTGCTCATGCTCCAGAGTTGGGATGATTATGTATTTATTTACTTCATGGCTGTTGGTATGCAGTGTTTTTGTACTCCATATACAACATCATTTTCGTCATGTTCTTCATCAGTTTACTGAACATTGTCCTGGAACAATCCTGAATTAGAACAAGAAGTTGGGCACAACGTCCACACACGGCTCCCACTGCTTGTAGGATTGGGAGGATGACGATATCATGAATTAAAGGCTGTTCGTCTCAACAAGAATATTTGCAACCTAACAAGGACTAAACCAACAAATACTACCTGACCAGAAATCAGGACTTCTTCTGGTATTTATCTGTAAAGTCTGGTAAATTTCTCAAAACAAATCTTAAAGGTCCAGTTGGGCTTGTAAGTCAGCGCATCAAATATAAGAACTTTAGTGAACGTTTTGGTTGTAAAAGGACGTGGCCATGAAAAGTGTTTAGGTTTTTGTTTCCGGCTGGTCTTCCACACATACACAAATTTTATTTAGCCTTTATTTATACAGGTTAGTCTCATTGAGCCACGAGAACTCATTTTCAAGAGAGACCTGTATTCATTTTATAATACACAGTAGTCCCTCGCTACTTCACGAACTCGCTCTTTTGTGGTTTTTCAGCAATTGTCAACTTTGATATTACTCACGTGACTGGTACGATACTAGATAAAAAGTTAACGAGATAAAAAAATAATTCGGACAGGTGCCACCATTTTGTAGTTTTCTTTCTAGCCTACACCTGTCAAAAGAACTACTTTACCCAGAAGCCAGCAGTGCTTCCGGCTGCTCCTTTCTGCCAAAATGGAGGGAAAGTTTTACAACGAAAATCTACAATATCTATTAAACTCACAGAACTGGCAGGAAAGTCTCAAATAATCCTGAAGCTCAATTATCCACGTGCAAATCAACCTGGATGGGGCGGTGGACTTCGTCGCTGCAGGGTACGTCTGCAGAACTGGAAGCGAGTGCAACCGTAACCGAGCTGCTGGTCTGCGGAGCTGGTGAGTAAAATTTTGCAGTACTGTACAGTACATATATGCATGTTGTTAAAATTACATAGGTTTAAGAGATTAGAACATTGCAAGAGTGTGGGAAGAGTTTATAAAGCCTTAACATAATTATAAATACTAAAACAAATATAGCGTTCATACTTAGTGGTTTTTCACATATCAGGGGGTGTCTGGAACGTAACACCCACAATAATCCGGGGACTACTGTAATCCCAATATACAGCCCATGGAACAGTCCTGAGGTCAGCGTATTGTCTTTTTCCACAATGCAGACCAAAAAGAGTTCAGTTATGCAAACTATTAATGGGAGTAATTTGACAAAATATTATAAAATCTGTATGTTTAAACAGAGGTCATTGTAAATCTACAATGCAGCAACATTTTAGGTGCTTTTTTTATATATGTAAAAAGATGGCACCTAATTTTTACCATTTGTGCAGTCGACTGCACAACTCGTTTCCACTTAATTAATACTTTTATGCTTTCATCTCCTCATGCAGTCCACGGTCATTGTCACTTATTTAACCTCAAGATGTTAATGGTACATGCAGAACCTCTACACTGCACCTCTATTGTGCTCAAATGTGGCTGACGCAGGAACGTGTAGTAAACATGACCCAAACATATTTTGCCATTTAAGCAAGTAACAGAAACCCTTGACTTCCATCGATCCTCTTATTCAAGATGAGAAAAGAACTTTGTAATACTTCAACTAAAGACCTCTGAAAGTACTGTGCTCCTAAGAACCGTTTACTTTCTTAACATTCAGTCTTTTTGACCTTTTCGTTATCAGGAGGGGTAAAATGTACACAAGAGAATCACCTCCCCTTTCATCTTTTACAGTGGATGTGGACACACGGTGGGCAGTTTGTTTCAGTTAGCTTGAAGCAGAGATTGGAAGCAGCTGGAAACATACAGAAGAGCGCAATCCAGATGTTGTAAAATCAACTTCTAATCTCAACCAGTCAACGGATGATATTGATTGGTGAGATTTCTGCACAGAAGGTTGCTGCACACATTCCAACCAGCAGTTTGGTGCTGCAGTGAAGAACGTTTGCCTCTGATGAATTATAATTTCCAGTATTTTGACTCGACTCTAAACAGTTATGACTGCTGCACATCGCTGTAAGCTCAACTAAATGTAACATGGAGGCATTGAGGAAGCATCCAACTTGAATCTTATACTTTTTACCTTTACAGTAGATTGGACAATGTGTTGCATGTTCAAAAGCTTTATTTGGGGGGCCAATACACATTGTTACGGTTCAACTTTGCACACTTGTTTCAAAAATGAGCTGCAGGCAGCTACACTAACCATTTATTTGGTTATAACCTCAAGTTATGAACAAAATTAGACAATGTTTCATGTTTGTAAACCACCCCTCCAGTTAATTTAAGCCTGGAAACAATATTCCATTGAATTCAAGTGTTTTTAATGTTTCAAACCACGTTGCATCTGTTTGCACTTTACCGATCTGTATTCTTTCAGGTGAACATGCATTTTACTTGTCACTATTTTATTTTGATGTGTGTGTTTATTACCAGTCTGAAAGCTGTCCATGCAGAGAATAGAGTAGAAACCAGTACAGTATTTCTACTGAGCAATCCTTGGACTTTTGCACATTTTACCCAGTTAAAAGTATTCAAAACAAATGCAAAATATGCAGTTTTCTTCTTTTTACATCTACAGCATGTTGCTTTAGAGTTATTATTTTGAAGTTAAATGTTTTTTGTCACTGCCGATGAGGGAAAAGACATTAATTTAATGTGACAGTAAAAACAGTTGTTTTTTCAAAGGTTGTGAAACACTTGTGGAACATTAGTAAGGGGCCTAGTTGTTATTATTTATTTACAAAATTCTGCAACAATTTTAGCAATGAAATTATATAAAAAAAATCCCCCAAAAATTATTCTGATAGATTTTAGTAGGGTTTTCTCTCTTGGCTTAGGCAGCAGGCAGTAATTATTAAATTAGTGAGAAAAGGAGCGAGATTTCAGTAAAACATCCTTTAATAATTTTTGAATAGCACGATTGAATTTTTTTTCTTCTATATTCATAACGCAATGGTTGACTGACGCTTTAAATTTTGAAGAACTGCAATAGTGAGTCCTCCCGTGCACGCTCCCTTCACTCAGCTGGTGCAGGCAGAGGAACACTGCAGAGCTAGCGACTTTGGCCACGATGAATGGATGGATGGCTGGCTGGATGGATGGATGGATGGATGGATGGATGGATGGATGGCGCCACGCTGCCCAGGCGAAATTAAGCTGTTTTGACCATTAAAGTGCATTTATTAAGGAAAAGTTAAACTGAGACACACATTTACTATAATGTCAAGCAAACAAATAATTGTTTTGAAGAGTCAATCTTGTTAAATTTCATAGAACTGCAACATCGAGTCCTCCCGTGCACGCTCCCTTCACTCAGCTGGTGCAGGCGGAGGAATGCTGGAGAGTTTGTGACTCTGGCTACTGTGGATGGATGGATGGCGCCGCACCACTCAGAAAAAATTAAGCTGTTTTGACCATTAAATAAACGCGACTGGTCAGGGGTGACACATAATAAATGCAACTTATACGCCGAAGCGACTTAAATGTGTTTTTTTTTTTTTTTCCTCTTCATGATGCTTTTTTTTTTTTTGACTGATGTGACTTATACTCTGGAGGGACTTATATGCAGGAAAATATGGTAAGTGCCCTTCAGGAAACATGACTGGTCACAATGAGACAGGAAAAAAAAACAACTTCAGTGTTTTCTTAAGTAAATAATCTGAATTGTAAATACTTTAAGTTTACAGTCCGGTTGAAGTGAGAAGCTGGAACATCTTTTAGTGAAATGCTGGCATTTTTAATGATATGATACAATAAAATGTGAAATACAGTATTTGATAAGAAACTTCTTTTGCCATGACCGTAAGGCTCCTCGACTGAATCATCAAAGTTCCTGATGAGTCTGGAGAATAGAAGCTCTCTGACCAGAAAGCCTTTCCTCCAAAGCCAAACTGAGCCAGCAGGGTCCAGATGGGGCCGTTCAGGTAATTAACCTCAGCTGATGGTC